GACTGAGCCACTCACGCACCCCAAATTTAAAAACCTTTAAAATCTACATACCAGTAATATCACTTCCAAGAATTTATCCTAAGTAAATAATCACTGATGTGAGCAATGGTTGTCATCCAAAAGCTTATTTATTTTAGCTGTGAATTGTGAAAAACTGGAAACAACATACACTAGAACAATGAAAAGGATATGGAATATTTAGTGTTATGAAAAACATGCATGAGGGGTGCCTGGGTGGCTCAGTGGGTTAAAGCCTCTGCCTTCAGCTCAGGTCAGGATCCCGGGGTCCTGGGATCGAGCCCCGCATCGGGCTCTCTGCTCAGCAGGGAGCTTGCTTCTCCCTCTCTCTCTGCCTGCCTCTCTGCCTCCTTGTGATCTCTGTCAAATAAATAAATAAAAATCTTAAAAAAAAAAAAAGAAAAGAAAAAAGAAAACATGCATGATAATGCTAGCTAGGGAAAAGTATACTCATGATTCCATTTTTGAATGTATATATAGATACGCTTAATAGGAAATAAATACATGTATATATATTGCTTAATAAGAGCTAAAATAAATTGTGATACAACCAATTAATGGAATGATGGAATGCTAGATGAAGCTACTCAACTGTGCCCTAATACGGATTCATTTCTTCTGTTTTCTTTTTTTTTTTCTTTTAAAGTAGGTCTCATGCCCAGCATGAAGCCCGATGTAGGGCCTGAAATCACCACCATGAGATCAAGACCTGCAGGAACTGAGCTGAGATCAAGAATCGGATGCTTAACTAGCTAAGCCACCCAGGTGTCCTGATACTGAACCATTTCTAAGCCTTAGTGAAAAAGGCAGACTTTAAAAAAATAGTAAGGCTACACTATAAGGAACTGATACAGAATCAATTTCCAAGGTACATTGTTAAGTGTATAAAGCATCTAACCATTTAACCAAAAAAAATTGTTTCAAGTTTATGTACTCTACTCTCTACTGGGTAAAAATGTTAGAAATTTTCCACTATCTTTTCTTCTAAATTTGCAATGTAACAAATCTTTTGGAAAACTAGGAAATAAAGCTGTCTGGCTTTTAACTGCATTGATCAGTGAGTGCTAAAACAAGCAAAAATCACTTTTCCAGTGCAGGTAATTTGACTACTAAATTCATAAAGTTCTTTAACTTCAAAGAAAGTAAAAATTAGTGTCCCAACTAACTTCCTAAGCTAAGCAACAAAATTATTAAATATGAAATCCATTCTGGAATCATGTTCCATAAGAAATAATGTCAAAAGCAAACATAAAGGGTGTTAAATTATAAAAGCTTATGACAAACAGATAAAGGCACACACCTATTGATATATATATTGAAATTACCGAAAAAACTTGAATGACCAAAGACAGACAGAAAATTGTGCCTTTTTAGAAATATAGCCACGAGCCAGTAGGTACTTAAACTTTAACCCAAGCATCCTGAGGTACCTTATTTAGAAGCCCTAGTTTGCTCAGTTTCTACCTTGTCTGTCCTCAGACACATCAGAAGGAACTGTCACTTGAGAGACAGCAATGGTTAGTACCAAGGGCTTTGGGATCCATGAGACCCAGGGTTGAATCCTGGCTTTACACTTTTCTATGGGAGTAACATGGAAAAATCTCAATTTCTTTATCTGTAAAGTAAAACAGAGATTATCATCCACTAGTTAATATTAGTAAATAAGAATACAATTTCTGAGAAAGTGAAATGGAGGCAAAATTCTTCAAGTAAGACAACTAAAAATCCCCAAAGTCAACCTGAAGGGAACACATGCTAGAGAGCACTGAGCTGGAAGGCAGGAGCCCTGGATCCCAGTTTTGACTGTGCTACAACCAGCTCCAGCTCCATGGAATATTATTTCATGTTATGTAGGTTCTAGTTTTAACATCTACAAAATTAGGAGACTGAAATCCTTTCCACCTGTACTTCCAAAAGTCTCTAAAATTTTTCATTTAAATCCTTAATTTTTGTAAATTCTTAATCAGTTTTCATCATGACTCAGCAACTAGTCATAATAATATATAAGCCTTAACTTATATATTATCTTATATAATATATAATATATAATATATAACAATAGCCTTAACTAAATTATCCAAAGTCAGATTGCTATTAAGTGGCAAAATCGCAATTCAAACCAGATTTGACTCACTCCAAAGACCATTTTTCTTTTTCCAAAGACCAAATTTTATGTCATGCTTCTTTTTTTTAAATTTTATTTATTTGACAGACAGAGATCACAAGTAGGCAGAGAGGCAGGCAGAGAGAGAGAGAGGGGGAAGCAGGCTCCCTGCTGAGCAGAGTCCAATGAGGGGCTCCATCTCAGGCCCCTGAGATCATGACCTAAGCCAAAGGCAGGGGCTTAACCCACTGAGCCACCCAGGCACCCCTTATGTCATGCTTCTTCCTCAGACCTTCTCCTTGACTAATCTGGTAACTAGCATTTTGCCTTTGCAAAATGACTGGAAATCAGGAGCACAGTCAGGAATCATGGAGCAGTCAAGTTACTTGAGTCAGGTGGGGCTTGAACTTCTGACACAGTACTCTAACCAAGTTAATTAGACATTTCAGCTACTTAAAAGGAGTCTGAAGAAACAAGCAAACAAAAAGTTAAAATTGTCAAGAAAAACTATTAACTGAAAACAAAAACAAAAATAAAGCATCTTTGGGGCCCCTGGGTGGCTCAGGTCATGATCCTGGGGTCCTGGGATCAAACAGGCAAGTCGGGCTCTCTGCTTGGCAGGGAGCCTGCTTCCCTTCCTCTCTGCCTACTTGTGATCTCTGTCTGTCAAATAACTAAATAAAATCTTAAAAAAAAAAAAAAAAAAAGTAAAGCATCTTTAAAACTGTAAGTAAATGAAGGCTCATTTACATAAAAGTTCAGGAGTTAAAGCTGTACAAGATCAAATAGTCAGTAAAATAACTGCTATGCTATTTAACTGCTTTTGTGCAAGTATGCAAATAACAAATTATACACCAGTGAGTTAAGGAGTAACAGATAATCCAAAGCACATACATTTGGCTTTAGAAATAAAGCACATGGTCTAAATAGATAATCCAAAGTAATGAATATCTGGTACTAAAAATATATGATCCAGGGGTGCCTGGGTGGCTCAGGTGGTTAAGCAACTGCCTTGAACTAAGGTCATGATCCCAGGGTTCTGGGAGGGAGCTCCACATCAGGTTCCCTGCTTGGAGGGGAACCTGCTTCTCCCTCTCCTGCTCCCCCTGCTTGTGCTCTGTCAAATAAATAAATAAAATCTTTAAAAATAAATAAAATAAAAAAATATTAAATAAAAATATATGATCGGGGGGTGCCTGGTTGGCTCAGTCCGTAGAGCATGAGACTTTTCATCTCAGGGTGGTGAGTTCAAGCCTGACACTGGGTGTGGAAACTACTTAAAAATAAATAAATAAATAAATAAATACACCCATCTATACTTTCCTCCCAAATTTTAGGCTATTCAGGTTGATACAAAATTAATTTCTATGTGGACAGAGGACAGATCTTTTCTAAACATACAGTACATAATAAAATTATCATCTCCCCACATCAGCAGAAAAGATAACGTTTTATAACACATCTCAACATCTCCACAGGGACTAACAAAACTAAGGCACATACAAAAAAAAAAAAAAAGGGGGGGGGTAACATTTAAATTCCCACTGCAGACAAGAACCAGGTTAGCTTCTCTGTTGCTTCCATTAAGCCAATCTGGGATTAAAAACTGGTTTTGAAATGATCCACACATGGATAATCAAGAGTCAAACAAACACATGTAGATAAACTCATATTTAAATGTGTAGGTTTCCAAGCACTTTACGAAATAAAAAATTTCATAAGGCAGTTGATAGAAATGGAACAAGAGGTGAGGTCACCTACCACTTTAGCTCTATTGATAGAAGTCATTATGTGCTCTTCTCAAACACTGGGGAGCCACCAAAACCACACAGACACACACCACATCTGGCAGTATCGTTCAGAAAGGTAACCCAGGAAAACCTCAGAAATGTTCGCTTCAGCTCAAGAAGAATGAAGCTGTATGCAACTCCACATAACATCAAGTAAATGGAAAAGTGTCAAGAAAATAATGCATTTATTTTTCTCAACACAAACTGCCTAAAAGACAACTTCCAAGACACGGGGCAATTAAACGTCAGACCCAGCTAAAAGTTCTCTCGGCTAAGCCTCACTGGCAGAAGCCCTCTACTGGGCGTTTCTAAGATGGGACCAACTTTTGTGTTTCCCACAGTGGCGCTAAACCACGGTTATGCATCCTGCTGATAAACCCGGACATGTGGCACTTTACACACCAAACCAGCATCGCCGACACCCGTCACTACTGTTAGGCCCACTCCTGAAGGTAATGTGCACTGAGGGCGAGGACTTGAGGTTTTAAGAGGAGAGGAGCGGTAAGAGAAGCCGGTTGTATACACAGCGGTCTACCCGCACACTGCAGAGCCGGCGATGCGCCGAGCAGGCTCAGGAAGTTGGCTAACCCAGGGGAAAGCTCCGTGCCCTCCTCTGTAAGCGAGAGCGTGTGGCTGGCTGGCAAACCAAAATGCGGAAAATTCATTTAAGAACTCCCTGAGGGCCTACGGTGCAGACGTAGGAGTCCAGTTAAGATTCGGGGAAGCAGGTACGGAAGAGACCAACAGTCCACAAACTGATACTGATCAACCAGCTCCGCCGGGAGGCCCAAACTGGTTTGGGGAGCGGTGCCTCCTCTCCGGAGTTGGTGAGCTAAGGTACCGGGCGGGCTCTGGTCCTCCTCCAACAGCCCTTTCCATCAGGCCCGGGGCTGCTAAGACCCAGGCCTGGCCCTCAGCAACGTCGGCTCGGTTCCCCAGGGTTGAGTGCCACCCTCCAAGGCCACTCCGAGGCCATGTGGCCGGGGCCGCGCGGTGCCCAAACCCGGCGCACGTTCAAGAGGTGAAACCAGAAGAAAGGAAGTGCGGGAGGAAATTCAAAGAATGGGATGTTGGGGTACAAGACTTACTTCCTTTGGGCTTTGTCCTTCTTGGCCTTGGTCCTTTTCTTTCGGGCCTGGAGCGCAAGCACTGCAGGAGAGAGGGATGGATGAAGGGCGAATGTGGAGGAAAGGAGGCAACCAAGGTGAGGGTGGAGACCCAGCAGGGGCGCGAGGCCCCGGTGCGGGGCCCGCCTGAGGGGCGGCTCTGGGGCGAGCGCCGCGGCTACGGCGAGGCGGCCGGCCCGGCGGCGGGCGGCCCACGGGGCGCAGAGAAGCGCCCAGGCGGGGTGCGCCAGCGGGGGCTCGGACCGGGTCAGGGGGCCGGCGGGCGGGGGTCTATCTGGTTCGCCGAGCGCCGGGCCCTGCAGCGGCCCCAAGGCGCGGGTCGGCCTGGAGGGGAACAAGGGGCGATGACTGCCGGCGCGGAAGGACGCCCGGGCTGAGGGGCGCGGACCGGCAGCCCAGAGGCGGGGGGTGAGGGGCGGCGCCACCTCAGAGGGGGGGGCGCCGCACGCCCGGGGACCGGACTGCGGCGGTTAGGCGAAGCTCCAGTGCTGACTCGGGCCTCGCCCCGCCGGCCGTTGCCCCTCGTGGCGGAGGCCGATCCACCGCTCACCTTTCCGCTCCATGGCGAGACCGGTAACCGCCAGGCGCCTGCGCACTCGAGTGGCGGTGACTCCCGCTCCCGCCACGGCCCAAAACCAAGCCCGCGCACACCCCGCCCCCCAGGTCCCGCCCCCGCCCCCGCCCCACGACGGCGCGCGCCTGCGCGTTGAGCGTGGAGCCTACCACCTGCTCGCTAGGAGAGGGGGGGCTGTATAGAATCGGGGGCTGGGAGGAGGAAAGAACGCTGAGTGTGAATGCTAAAGAGGTGCTGAGAACCAACTTGGAAGCCTGGCGGGGTCAGGTTCGTTCTCTCTGCAGGGCGGTTGCCCCTGAGGAAAGGAGAAGAGCGTGGCTTTGAGAGTTCTGGGTGGTGAGTCGGTGCTCCGCAGCCCACTGGAGTCCGCCTCAGTTTCCTGGTCTGTAGAATGGACTTAATCAGGCGTGTCCCAGTTTCTTTGCTGAACTCTTGTGAGGTTCAGTTCAGATACTATAGAAAGAAAATGAGGGCGGGCAGGCGGGCGGGCGAAATTACAAGTGAGAAAGAAAAGGAAGTTGGAGCAGCACCAAAAAGAGCCTGGAAAGAAGGAGCCTGTGAACTACCTTCATTCTAAAAGTGAAAACTTTAAATAAATAAAAAAAAATTTAAAACGTGAAAACCTTAAAACTGAATTTTCTCTTAAAATTTCACGTTTATATGAAGGTTCTAAAGGAAAGAAGGGGAAGAATAAAAACTGTTTTCTCATTTTACCACTTTATTATCTTTTTAGTACATGATAAATATAGTTGTAGCATGTGTTTATACTTTTCTAAGTGCATTATTTCATTTGATATTTATGACAGCTTAAAAGCAAAATATTACATCCACTAAGAAACTGAAAGTTGGAGGGGATGTGCCCCCAATTTTGGGTGTCCTGATCCAGTGATTCCATCAGCAAACCCATATTGTAAGGCAAGGTTAGCAAAGATTTTCTGTAAAGGGCCATATAGTAAACATTAAGGCTTGTGGGCCATAAGATCTCTCTCAGCTCTTCAAATCTGCCCCTGGAGCTCAAATGGAAAATAGAAAACAGGGGCTGTGTTCCAATAAAGCTTTGTTTATGGTCCCTGAAATTTGCATTTCATGTAATTTTCACATGTCATAAAATACTATTCTTCTGTTAATCTTTTTCAACTATTTCAATCATTCTTGGCTCAGGCCTTAGTTTGCCAACCCCTGTTGTAAAGTACTAAAGCTGGACAGCGGGTAAGCTTTGAAGACCCTTGCCCTAGAAGAAGTTAGACTCTACGGGGAAGACAGACAAGTAATTAACTGACTGAGAAAGGAAGATGAAAGTGTAATAGTACTGCACAAGTGAAACATGGGGGCTTGGGCGGGATTTTATTGAGCAAAATAAGTAATCAAATTCAGCCGGGGAGGAGGCAGCTTTTGAACTGGGTCTTGGGAAATGTGTAGGGTTTCCGTAGGTGGAGAAAGAGACATTAGGCATTCCTGCATGAGAAAATCAATTGAGCAAAAAGGCACAGATTTGGAAACTTAAAGGTGGGGGCGGGGCTGGTAATGACTGAAGTGGATCCAGTGGAACGTGATGCCAGAAATGCAGGTTGGCCGAATTTGAAATTTAGCTAATTAATATCTATTGCATGGAACCTGAATGATAGCATTTCTGGACATATTGCAAAAGAGGATAGCACGTGTTGGCCAAGGAAAACTGCATCCCAGTTTCCTCTCCACTCGAGAACAAAGGGAGAGTTGGGGCAGACAGTGAGGCCCTAGGGCCTGAGTGAGGGTTCTGCTAGCTCAGGAAAACCTCCCGTGATTTAGAAAAGACAGGAGAGCTATGGTGGCTGATGAGAAGTCCCAGAATTGGCAAAGTACTCTCCACAAGAAAGTAAACTCTATGAGGATAGGAATCCTGTTTGGATTTTCCTTGAGGTATCCTCAGTGCCTAGCGTAGTATCCAGCACCTAGGAGGTGCTTAAATATTTGTCTGATCAAAGAATAAATGATGTGCAGTTTATGAGAAAGTTCTGGACGAGAGAGAGAGAAAACACTGAGCCGGACAACATGAAACTGTGCTAATAACCCAAATGCGATACTGCAGATTCATTAAGAAGGAAATAAGTTTAACTTGGCATGAATTCTTCATACCTATTCTGGCTTTGAGTGATCACTGCTTCTTTCCCTAAGAGCTTATTGTTTAATAACTCATTCGAGAATTTTTCCAGAGTCATTTTCAAGTTCACTGGATTGAGTTCCCTCAATTGACCATTTCTCCCTTTTTTGTATTTTTCCCCTTTCTCTCAGCATGTTCAGTTCTCCACACTTTTTCTAAAATCTGTATAGTTGTTCATCTGAGCTAGTTTGCACCCCCCCCCCATTCTAAAGCCCATGCCTTTTTGAGTAAGAAACTGCTCAGTCAGTTAAGCATCTGCCTTGGGCTCAGGTCATGATCCCCCGGTCCTGGGATGCAGTCCTGCATCAGATTCCTTGCTCAGCTGCGAGCCTGCTTCTCCCTCTGCCTGTTGCTCCCCTTGCTTGTGCTGTCTCTGACAAATAAAATTTTAAAAAAAGAAAGAAAACCCCAGATGAACATAGGAGGGAAAAAAAAAAGAAAGGAAGGCAAACCAGGAGACAGACTCTTAACTATAGAGAACAAAGTTACTGAAGAGGAGGTGGGCAGGGGGTTTGGTTAGGTGGGTGATGGGTGATAAGAAGTGTACTTGTGATGAGCCCTGAGTATTGTATGTAAGTGATGAACCACAGAAATCTACATCTGGAACTGATATTACACTGTATTTTAACTAACTGGGATTTAAATAAAAACTTGAAAAAATAAAAAAAAATAAATAAAGCCTCTGCCTTTTTTGTGCTTTTTACTTTAAACATAACTTTAAAAATCACTCCCCACCCTCTCATCCCCAATTTCACAGGGCTTGTCCCATTCTGGATTTCATCCTTTCTCTTCAAGTGGTGAAGCATGCATATCCCTCTTGCACAAGTGTTTTTCTCAAGTTCTTTTAAAAGTAGAATTATTTGGAAAACTGTTCAGGAGCAGTGTCAGAATTTAATTTCTGAAAAGATCCCATTCCCTGTGAGCTAATTTATTTGTTTATTTTTATAATTTTTTTTTAAAGATTTTATTTATTTGACAGACAGAGATCACAAGTAGGCAGAGAGGGAGGCAGAGAGAGGAGGAAGCAGGCTCCCCGCTGAGCAGAGAGCCCTATGCGGGGCTCCATCCCAGGACCCAGGATCGCGACCTGAGCCGAAGGCAGAGGCTTTAACCCACTGAGCCACCCAGGTGCCCCATGTGAGCTAATTTATTAAGACTTTCCTGGGATTGTCCCCTAATGCTTCTTGGAAGTTTCTGAAATTTGATCACCTAAAGTTTAGGACACATGTTTCATCAAACCCAACATTCCCTGCTTTGGTTACCACAAACTATTAACACTTTGTCCTAAGTTTTGATCTGAATTAAATCAAAAAATATCATTTCCCTTTTATGGCTTCCCTTTTGTCTTGTGAGATGAAATGGACAGCAGAACAAAATGAAAATATATTGGATGCTTTACTTTTCAGATTCCCAGTAGATGTCTGCACGATTGAAGAACCCCAACAGAATTTTACATAGTTTTGTGAAGTATATTGGGAAAACAATTATACCCTAGGCTGGAGTTACAAGAAACACATGGCACATTCAACAGAAAAATTGAAGATAATTGAATGAAGGGATTGAGGTGTGGGTAGGGTTAAGGGAAACCAAAAAGGAATGGTGAGGCGTCCAAGGACTAGCAATAGTGGGAGTCCTTACCACCCTTAGGCCTGAAAGGACAAGGGGTGGAGATGTTAACCAGAACCCAATAATACCTTGTATTAGTTGCCATAACAAAGTATCACAAATTGTGTGGTTTAAACAACAGCAATTTATTGTCTCATGGTTCTGGAGGCTAGAAATCCAGGTGTCAGCAGGGGTGGTTCCTTCTGGGGCCTGTGAGGGAAGGATCTGTCCTCTTTCCTTGGCTTGTAGAGGATTCTGTGCCTCTTTATATTTTCTTCCTTCTATGTGTGTCTCAGTCTGTGTCCAAATTTCCTCTTTTCATAAGGACATCTGTCATAATGGATTAGGACGCATTCTAATGATCTCTTTTAACTTCTAATTCTTCTAACTTCTCTTTATTTTTCAAAGAAATTTTATTTGTCAGAGAGAGAATGAGAGCACAAGCAGAGGGAGCAGCAAGCTGAGGGAGAAGCAGGCTCCCTGCTGAGCAAGGAGCCTGATGTAGGACTTGATCCTAGGACCCCAGGATCATGACCTGAGCTCAAGGTGGCCACCCCCAGTGTCCCTCTCTTTAACTTTAACCTTTGTAAAGATCCTATGTCCAAATAAGGTCACTTTCTGAAGTACTGGGGGTTAAGACTCCAATATATCTTATTTTGGTGGGAGGGACTGGAGGGGACACAATTCAACGCCTATTACAATTGTAGTGATAAGAAAGATCTGCTGGGGGTGCCTGGGTGGCTCAGTGGGTTGAGCCTCTGCCTTTGGCTCAGGTCATGATCTCAGGGTCCTGGGATCGAGCCCCACGTCGGGCTCTCTGCTGAGCAGTAAGCCTGCTTCCCCCTCTCTCTCTGCCTGCCTCTCTGCCTACTTGTGCTTTCTCTCTGTCTGTGTCCAATAAATAAAATCTTTAAAAAAAAAAAAAAGAAAAAAGAAAGATCTGCTGGATGGCAGCTGTGCCCTTTGATAAAAGGACATAACCACTGTCCGGCAGGGAATTCAATGCCCAATTTCTTACTCCTCTCATCCTCTCAGGCCAGCTAGTGCCTCCCATTGAGTGAACCAACTGGAATTAAGAAGGCAAGGGTGCATGGGTGATGCGGTCCGTGCAACCCAACCTCCCAGGGCACAGAGAGGGTGGAGAAGGGTGGAGGGTTCATCTGGAGGGGCAAACAGAGACTATCCAGCACAGCCTGTCTGGGCAGTCTACAGCATACACCCAAAGTGGCTAGCACTTTCCAAGCAAATAAGCCAGCATTTTGGGCTCCCTGGAGAGGCTTGAGAACAGAAGCTGCTCGGAGATAACCCCCTTTCTGGCTTTTTTTCCCCTTCTTCCTCCTTTATAAAGCTTAAGCTTCAAAAAG